AGTACTAAGTGCTTATACTCAAGAGAAAACTGTTCTTATAAGTAAATGTTCTCCACTACATATTGATGTAGTCAAAGCTACCTAAAAATGATTTTGTTCACTAAGAGTCATGGAGATTCTTTGTATATATATCATGTTTTAATTTCAAAAGCATCTAACTTATAAATATTAAATGGCTTTCAGTGAAAAGTCAGAGGTATTAAACATTAGTAATTGCTTTCTTTTTTTCCCCTTTTTGTCTTTTTTACTGACCGGTAACAGGATCGCAACCCTCAGTGTCGCGCCCGCACCGCGCTCAGCCAGTGAGTGGGAACCGGTCTCCACATGGGATCCGAACCCGTGGCGGGAGCGCTGCCGTGCTCCCAAGCGGCGCACTCTCCAGTGCACCACCGGGCCGGCCCATAAAGGAAAATTTTAACTGTATAAATGAGTTTAAGTATTTGACCAAGTTGTAGACAAAATGGAGTCAAATCAAATATTTATCATCATCTTGACTTTACGTAAGAGTACCACACTGTGTCAAGCTGGGCCAAAAGAAAATAAGACCAAACAGAGAATACCCAACAGTTATTTCAAACAAAAAGTAGATACATTATCACATATTCCCTTTGTATACATTACTTAGTATTCATGACTTTATGAACTCCTTAAAGAATAGTGATGTGACATGTAAACTTTTAAGTCATGAAATCTTGGACTTTAAAAGGTGTTTTTCACATCCAATATAACTTATTTTAGAACTAACAAATTATTTCAAAAGATTATCTAAGTGTCACAAACAAGCAACATGTATATACTGTAATTTTATTTCAATCTCACAAACGAAGTTTTAGTGTGTAGGAAATTTAAATGAAAGTTACGGTAAAAACAGCAGAGATCTGAAAAACCTAAAAAGGAAATACACCTAAAGCATGAGAATTCAACATTCATGAGTGTTTCATCTTCAGTTTTGATTGACACTTGATGCTTGCAAGATTTTAAACAGACTTTTAAATCATGATGACTATTCTGAAGAGATTTCAGCACCAGCACTGAGGTTTGTACATTCAGTTTGCTTGCAATTGACTTGTTAGCCATTTACATAGTGTATAGTACAGATTTGTCATAGGTCAGATCACAGTGTTGAGGAAAGCAGTACCTTCCTGTAGTTAGAAAGGATCCCCTAAACTGTACTCAGCTTAAGACATCCAATGTACAAGAGCACAAAAACCATCAGAATAATGGGGGTCCAAGGAACATAGTTTTCATAAGGAAAATAACTTAAGTTTCTGTTTCCCACTTTAATTACTGAAATCTCTAACAACGACACAACTGCCATTAATGACAGCAAAAAATGTATACTGTAATTTGATCAAACTTGGAAAGAACACATTTAGCAATCTGAGATAATGCAAAATGATGGAAAATATAGCATGATTCAACACTGGTTCTTTTTTGTCAGTTTACACAGACATCATTTTAATATTAGACCAAGGCACAAAACGTTTAGTGCATAAACCAGTTTAAGATTTAGCATTTTATTTTAGTCTTTTATCTTACTTTGGACCTCTTGTACCCAGTACTCTACCTATTATAGACTATTTAACTTACCCAACAAAATCAAAAGTGATTTCTGACCAGATATGTAGGGGACATAAACATTTACATTGTCAAACTATTTGTATAACCAAAAGTACAATAATAAGGATGAAAATGCCTCCTATTTCTTTAGAAAATAGTACTTTATAACCTTGTTGCGCCTTAAATGCCTTTACTACTTACTATTGCATGACAATGAATACTTGACAGAAGAACTGTGTACTTGAATTATGATAGCTCATCCATCACAGTTTAATCTAAAAATGAAGTTTCTACAGAAACAGGAACTATTTTAACAAGGAAAATAAATTCCCTCATTCAAACTTCTTTGTAGTGGTAATGGCTGCTAGTCTGCAGTATTTAGAAAACTACGCTATCAGTGAGCTTTGTCTTATGAACTGAGATAAATGAAATCTAGAAAGCAGATGAAAGTGAATTATTTCTTCACAATTTTAGTGAAACTTCTGATAATCAAAAATTTCAAAGCAAATATGGCACATAGCAACTCAAGCATAAATCAAGATGGAGCCTGGAGAATTTCTGATTTCCTAAATTTTCCAAAAAGCTATCATTGCAACATGTAGAATTTCTCCCCTATTGTCTAATCTTACCAGTTTCAAAGAAAGGAAAAGGGAGTGGATTACATACACGCAGCACGCGTGCACACACACACACACACACACACAGACACACAAGGTGGTAAGTACAATATCTAGTTCCTTCTCTCCACGATGTAAGTCCCACTTTATTAAGAGAAAACTGCAGAACCCCTCGATGGTTTCCCTTTATCTATGACTTCTGGGACCCTTAACTGCTGCCATCACTGTTACTCCTTGTATTTCAACATAACAAAATTCAAAAGCAGCTTCACAGTCAGGAACATGTATGTACCTGAACACCTGTAACTGCAGGGGTACCAAGGTAATAATAACTGCCAAATTCAGTGATCAAACTTTTGAGTTCCACAATAAGATATAACTCATGTGAAGCTCAGAATCATGTTTCAGACCATTGAAATTACCAGTTAAGATACAAATAGCTGAAGACATGATGTAAAAGATTAAGTACTTTGTTTTGTTAACATATTTACCAATTAAAGTCACAAAATATTCCTCATTATTATTCATGCAGGTAATTGAGAAAAAATAGTGCAGAAATTAACTTTAAATAAAAAAATTATTCCTTCCCATCCTCCCACTCCCCTAATACTCTACAAAATGTTCTCCCTGGGACTAGGCCTTGAAAAGGCCACTACGTACTGTGTGACATGCATCACTGTCTGTGATTTAAAAAGCTAACTTTGTGGTGGTTGTAATCACATTATAAAAATGTCCACATGCATAAATCTAAAAAAGATTGAAAACCTACAGTAAATCTACAATATATTGTTTTACATTTGACCACTGGTTTGTGTTATGTAGAAGTCATAGATTTGGTAAAGCATTGTACCAATTTAGGAAGGCATCTAAATCTTTAAATTCTGGACGAATTTTATGTTTTAATCTACAAAATTGCATGAAGGCTAACTTGAAAGACTTCCTATCATTCTAAAATTCCTCAAGCTGGACAAATTATTTTTAGGACACTTTCTTATAAATATCACCCTTTGAAAACCCACACACTTCCATTTGTTCCACATTATATGGTCTTAACCTACACAGGGCTGATCTCAATTATTCATGGAATATCAAATATGATAGGAAGACAAACCTGAGAGAAACATTTACAATACAATAGCATAACCTGCTAAATTCTTCATCTGCACTCTGAAAGAAAACTTCATAAGCCTTTCTCCTCTTTATTTTAGCAATGGATTGTGGAAAATGTGCGATTTTATCTTGCCATGAAAATATCTCAATGAGCATTACTCTTGCCTGATGGGCTTAGTATTTCTGCATAATGGTTATAGGAACTCTTATACGACTCTTTTCCATCCTGTATAAAGGTCAGAAAAAAGCAGCAGACTAGGAGGAAAACAGCTCATCGCCAGAGTCAGGGCGTCTGAAGCTTCCAGAGTGCACTGCTTTTTCCTTCCTTCTGAGTGTTTGTCTCCGCTGTCTTCTCACAGCTCACAAAATGTAGGGGTTTGTTGTTAACAGCTGTGGTTGGTAGAAATTTTTTCTTCTTCTCCAGATTAAAGTCCAATCTCTCCTTCGTTTGTTTCTCTATGCAGTATTTGACTTGCTCAGTTCCTGCCTGATTGCTGGAGAGAAAAGGAGAGGTACTGAAATTAAATACAATGATAAAGTAAAATAAATGAGTGATTCGTTCTTAAGAAATCTTAAGGATTGTGTTCAAACCCACAGGAATAAACAGATACACCGATTTTGCATCCTACATGGCACAGACAGACCTTTGTTTTAATATTGCAAAGACGATAACTTCTATGTACGTGTATTTACTTATTTTCCCCCTTTATATACAAAATAAAAACACTGATTCTGTGGCTCAAATACAAGAGGGCAGTGGGATGGACTGAGAGAGGTACATTAGGGAAGGATGTGTTCATCTGGTTTTCCATCTAGTCATAGTCAACATCTAAAACCTAAGGGTCTCGTTTATCCCTATTTTACAAATAGTTTCCATTACATGAAGGAGAGAGCTCCTCCCTGACATCCTAAGCCAAGAGAAGGACACTATGGAAAAGTAACTGCTCTCATGTAATAAACTGGATATTTCCTTATTCACATATTTGTAAAAATGGCCATTCTTAAACATTATTTTCAAAGGGTAGCAAATTTGTTCAGACACTTACCATCGATGAGCTCTTCTTTTAGTTTTGTTAATTCTTTTCTCATTTCATCTAAAATGTCCTAAAATATTAGAGAAAAACATTAGGTATACAGAATAAAAAGTTACTGCTAAAAAGATTCTTACTCATAACATTTTTTAAATGTTATAAAATATGATGTACGG